GGGCGTTGAAAGTGGGAAAAAGTGGATTATTTAGTGGTGTGTGACCACAGCTTGTATTTACAATGCCCTCCTCAGCAGAGTTACAGCACCCTAAGCCTACTGACTTCAGGGGGCTTAGAAGGACAGAACCAATGCTCCCTCTAAGCTGTGGAGTCATGTGAGCAAAAGTTCCACTTTGTGTGCTCCTGGCATTAAAGTTGTGAGCCAGCGATTTGGCTACTGCATTAAATTACTTCGCTCTGGAGCCGTCCTTCCTGAGCTAAGACAAAAATGTGTGAGTCGGGGGCTAAAAAAATGTGAGCTAGCTCACACTGACTCAGCTGAGAGGGAACACTGGACAGAGCTCTGCTGTGGATGGGCCGCGTTGTCCGTTAGAGTAAAAATAACCGAGTCCTGGTACATTTTAAAGACTAGCAATGAAGAGTTTGTTGTTGCATAAGTTCTCAGGGACTTGAACCCATCTGACAACGTAAGACTGCAGTCTGCAAAACTTGTGCCACGTTAAATTTGGTTTAAAATTGTCACCCAAACCCCCAGTTTTACTGGGATGTGGATCCTCAGTTCTCACTAGCCAAACAAAAAGAGTGGTGTTGGCGCTGCTGGTTGTACTGTGTTATAGCCTTGTGCAAACAGAACGGGTTACTGGCTATGTTTTTCAGCCCTTCGAACAGACTACTGAAATGACTTGAAAGGGCCCCACATAGTGTAGCAGTTAAGGGTGTCAAACTAGGGCAGTGTTCACACACGAGAGATAATGCCCGGGGGGGGGGGAGCGAGGCTATTTGCTCCGCTCGTTTTGGCCGCTCGCCTGAAAGGGGCTTGCCCCCCCCTTCAAGGCCAACCATGGCCAGGGGGTCAGTTTCAACCAGCAAAATGTTGCAGGGGGGAGAGTAAACCCTGTCTCCCCCTGCTCTGGAGCCGAGATCCCACTGGGGGCCCACATGGCTCTTTTAGACCCGATGCACAGAAAAGCAGCAGCTGAACGTTTCCTGTCAGTGGATCTCCAAGCCTGCAAAAAGTTCTGTCTGTACACTTTGGTGTGCAAAAGGTACAGGGATCAGGAAAGGACCACCCTAAATCCTTATTGCTGCTGTTGTCTCTGAAATGGTTACATATACAGGACAGTTGAGACTGCTTGGGCTTACCTTCTCTCATTCTAGGCAAGGGGATAAAGGAGATGGGAGTGCGATCAGCTGTGCCTGGGAGGCCACACTTCTGTACATTTCAGTGAGGTTCCCTTTGGCCCATAACCCTGGCCCTCGCTGGTTTTTTTAATAGAATTCAGTCATTAAAACTCATCACCCATCTATCCATCATTTCCTCTCTTTTTCCCCCACCTCCTGTCAGGATGGCCTTGAGATTTTGCATTCATTTAGCAAGCAGAAGTGTTTCAGGTTTAGACTTGCCAGAATGCAACATCTGGGAAATACACTTATTCCTTTTAAAGTTGCCAGTGCAGGAGGGAGAAGAAGGAGCCTTTAGTCTGCCTTCAGTAACAAGAAAATTACTCCATCTAACTGTCTATTACCTTTTTATGCCACCTTCCTCTCTAAGGAGCTCACCGTGGTGTATGTCGGGGTCCCCAACATTTATTTATTTATTTATTATAGTACATTTGTGAATCTCCCAATCCCTACTATTGTAGGGCTCTGGGAGATATACAAAACATGGTAAAAACATTAAAACCATAACATGAATACAGACAGTATTAATATTAATATATTAATTTTTTTAAATCCAGTGGTGAAAATGACAGTGTTCTCCCGTTTCTGGCCTGTGATTGCCTCGCGGGTGCGGGGAAGGAAGTGAGAACAGTCTGAGGAGAAGGAGAATAGAAGGAGGAAGGTGCCAGCCAAGATGTAAGCCATCGCTGCCCTCAACCAAAAGCCCGGTGGAACATCTCTGTCTTACAGGCCCTACAGTGCTGAATAAGATCCCACAAGGCCCTCATGGTGGTTGGCAGAGCGTTCAACCAGGTTGGGGCCAGAACTGAAAGGCCCTGGCCCTGGTCTCTAGGCCCAGGGATCACCAGCAGATTGTTATCCGAGGAGCGTAACGCTCTCCCGGGGACATATCGGTGGAGACAGCCCCGCAGATACGTTGGTCCCTGACCGCTCACAGTGCTCGTGGGCACCACGGTGCTGGCAGAGACCTTTTCTGGCACCTACTAACTGTTTTTAGAAAGTGGGCTGGGCCACTTGGGGTTCTTGCCCAGCAGGGCTGTGCAGATTGAAACAACGTCGTTTGAGCAGCAGCTGCCACCACGGTGTTTGTTCTATTCTCCCTTGCTCCTCTTTCCCGGTGTATTTTTTTAAAACCACCCCTCTTCTCGCCTGCACCCGGGCTTCCTCTCTGTGGCTGGTTCCCCCTCCCTGCGGCAGCCGTTCTGTGGCTGCGCCCGCCACCCTGTGTCAGAATCCCAAAAGTGCTGCAAAAGACGGGGGACCCCTGGTATACGTGGTTCTCCCCTCTTGGTCCTCACAGCAACCCCAAGAGGGAGCTTAAGCTGAGTAAGTGTCACGGGCAAACACGCATTTGAACCTGGACTGCCGACCCTTTAGCTGCTACCAGCACACCGGCTCACCGCACAATGCACAGCGCTTGGCAGAGAAGTCAGGTGCCAGGACCGAAAGAGACGGAAGGGGGAGCATTTAAAGGCACCTGCACGTACTCTGGTTGCAACCCGGCGACACTATCCATGTTATTTCCTTCTCTTCCTGCAAGTCATTTGCGGTCCCATATAGACATAAAACAGATTGTAGGAACTACTGAGTCACACACTTGGTGGGTCAAGGGGTAAATAAACTGTGACACATTAGAAAGCCCATACTTTTTCCCAGCAGTACTTACTTTTGAGCAACATACAGAGGGTCAAAGAATTCAACGGTGATTCGGTTTGCATACAAGGAGCAGCTGGTCATGGCGCACAGCCCTAAAACATATAGAGGGAGAAGTGTTCAGCAACGGAAACCTGTACAGAACATACTTAGACCTAATCCTCTCGGCTGGTAGGATGAGGGGCAGAGCACCGAAGGGAGTTTTTAAACTTTCTTTCATATATTTATATGCAGCCACCCTTAAGGGGGGGGGGACCAGGAAGTCTCCCTGGAGAATAGCAAAGCGCTCGAGGGGTGTTGCGATTTTATATTTACCACAAAGGATGAAGATCAGCCCTGCTAAACAAGCAATTCGAGATTTAGTCTGTTCGGAGCCTCCAATTTTGGTGCACTTCATCCCAACCAGCGCACAGATGGAGCCAAAAAAGCCGAGGCAGATGGCAGCGATCATCAGTCCTCTGCAAGCTTGGATGTAACCTGCATAGACACAACACAAAGACAAAAGGTGGCGTGAATCAGCAGCTTCCGAGAGCTCTGTATTCTAGGATCTACGGTTAGGAGATTGGGAGCAAGCTGCAGCCTCCTATGCATATTTCTTCCCCTATCAATCTTAACCCTGACAGATTAGCCCTTTTCAATCACCAGGTTCAAGGGTATTTGATTTTGTTTTGAGGCATACTAGCAATCTTCCTGATGCCTTGGTTTTATGTAGCAGCAACCCTGAAAACATGCACAGTGCCCACTTCAAAATGGCTGGTGACCATGTGTGTAGTGTTCCAAAATAGAGACTAGAAAAAGGAAGAGTTCAAACAGTTTTTAATCTAAGGAGCAACTCCAACAGGCTTATGCAAGAACTCTCAACTAGCTGAACTGCTTCTTGAATATGTGACTTTAGGGAAGGTCTTCAAATTAACATACTAGACCAGGGGTGTCAAACATGTGGCCCAGGGGGCGAATCGGGCCCCTGGAGGGCTTCTATCAGGCCCGCAGTGGAACTGGCTGTCTTCTGCTTCTTCTTCCAGTTCTGCTGCTGCTGTGTCATCGTAGGTTTGCAGCTTACAGATACACACCTGAACAGCATACTCAAGATTGCAACAGCACAGACATTTTGATGCAATAATTCAGAGCAAGAGGTGTCAGTTATTAGACACTGTTAAATAAAATATTGCAAGAGTGCTAATGTTTTAAGCATGTTTTAATTTTAAGTTAAAAAAAACCCTTTGTGTTTGTGTCCTTTATAAAGTTTATATCTCCGCTACCTGGCATTACCTTTTATGACGCACATGGCCCAGCCCAACAAGGTCTCATTTATGTCAGATCTGGCCCTCATAACAAATGAGTTTGACACCCCTGTACTAGACTAAGGGAATATCTTGAAAGTATAAATTCTATCACTACAACGCATGTTGGGAAGATTGTGGAGTTGCACGCATTTCTGGTGCATGAATTTGGATACCCCAAAATGTAATGCCCAAAGAAGACTAGTTTTAAGTCGATACTGGTACTAACCAAGATTGCTCTCATTAAAAGCGGGGTTTCAGATTTTGGTTATGATGACAATTCTGGTTAGCATTAACCATGGTTAGCACCACTCAAGCTGTAATACTAAGCTTTGGTTGAATGCTAACAAAGGACTGGAGGACCTTCCAGAGGACGAGGAAGAATACATGGCCTCAGCACAGATTTTGCTCTCCCGCCTGAGATTATATAATATCTGGATTTGGACCACTGTTTAACTGCCTGTCAAAAATTGCACACTGTTGCACTTCTTTCTTGGGAGTAAATCCCACAGAATTCAAGAATGGGACTTGCCAGAAAGCAGCCAGAGAGTGCTGTTAAAAGTCCTGATGGAGTCTCAACAGCAAGAGTTTCTCTCATTTGTTCCTCTCCTTTCATTTGGCTCTGGAGTGGAATGCATGGATGAAGACGTGGCTGCTATTTCACGGAGAAATGTAAAGCGATGAAACCTAGTTACTTCTGAGTAAATGTTCAAAATTGATCTTGCAGTCTGACCTCTATGACCCCATTCCAACTCTCCAGTTTATAGATCCCACCACTTCGGATATCCCGTGTAAAGAAAGAAACGACCGATACACTGAACATCATACCAAAAATGTACTTATTGGTATGCATAAATTTACTCACATGTACATTTGCACATACAAGCACACACACACACATTTTATGTTCAGTATATCAGTTTTTTCTAACCTTTTTCTTTTCATGATTTATTCCCCTGCCCCCGTGTTTTAGCACCCACTGCTTTTTGGTTTTATATACTAATTCTGGCAGTTTACTCTCTCTGGTCTATGTCCTCCTCCTACTCTTCCCCGTCCCAACACAACCGCTTAGCATTAAGTATACTCCTAGTGCCTGTTGAAAGCCTTGAGCCCTGAACAGACTTCTGCACAGTCTACCTAGTTTACAGAATTCTAGATGCACTCATACTGAATTTCTACAGTGATTCATGTACATCCAGGAAGACTGATACACAATCGTGGCCAACCTTCCTGTGTTTACAATGTACGCATGATTTTGGTCTTCCAAGGAAAATAACCACCAGTTTCAAGGACTAACTTGTGTTTGCTTAGCACTCTGCAGAGTAGCTAGAAATCTGGGTACACCATTTCCTTTCCAATATGGCAACCATAAAACTGAAACAATGCAATAAAGACGATTTTGTCGAAATCTCCAACATAGTCAGTAGCCTCTCTACCCATTTCCTCCTTCTTCCTTGATGCGTGCCTTGCCTATCTAAGGGGTGTCGTAACTGATGACATCTGTAAGAATTAAGCAAAAGAATGACGCATAACTAAGTGGCCATTTACAATTATTACATCCGGTTGGGTTTCTCCCCCCCCCCATATCACTTTGAGAGGTTGAAATTTAACCCTTCTGCAGACACCATGCCCAAGCAATGGGCCAATGCAGAGATATGGAGGAAGAGGAGGAGGAGAAGGAGATTGGATTTATATCCTGCCCTTCACTCGGAGTCTGAGAGCGGCTTACAAACTCCTTTCCCTTCCCCTCCCTACAACAGACACCCTGTGAGGTAAAAGAAGAAGAAAAGATGGGATTTATACCCTGCCCTTCACTCAGAGTCTCAGACCGGCTTACAAACTCCTTCCCCTTCCCCTCCCCACAACAGACACCCTGTGAGGTAAAAGAAGAGACTGGATTTATACCCTGCCCTTCACTACCCAAAGGTGTCTCAGAGCGGCTTACAAACTCCTTTCCCTCCCCCTCCCCACAACAGACACCCTGTGAGGGAGGTGGGGATGAGAGAGCTCTGACAGAAACTACTCTTTTTCAAGGACAGCTGTGCCAGAACTATGGCTTGCTCAAGGTCATCCAGTAGCTGGATGTGGAGGAGTGGGGAATCAAACCCGGTTCTCCCAGATTAGAGTCCGCGCACTTAACCACTACATCAAACCATTTACGGCCATATCCCAACGTCCGCGGGTCACTTTCACTCAGTTAAAAAAACAGAGAGATGCTCTTTACGTCAAAGCCTTCCAACTGATACCTTGCTATGCCAATCAATTGATTCTTGTTGGAAAGGGACAGATTCCCGTAGCTATTTATCAATTAATTTTGGTGGAATATTTTATGTGGAGCGGTGGTGCAGGCAGTAAAATGCCTGCAAAAGTAATCCATCCAGCCTTAGGCTGTTTGAGTCCCACCGCGGCCGGGGTGAGCTCCCGGCCCCTGTCCTAGCTCCCACCTACCCAGCAGTTCGAAAGCCTAGCAAGTAGATAAATGGGTACCTGCCTTAGGTGCAGGGGGGCACCCGCCTTCCAGTGCAGAAGCGGCGAAGAGGAACTGTGGTGGTGGCAGGCGGCGGCAGGCGGCGGCGGCGATCCGGCAGGAAGAACATGGCGGCGAAACCAACATCAAGCTGCAGACCGTCTGGGCGGGGACTGGCCCAGCGATGCGGCGATGCATCGACGCAGCAAGGCCGGAGCCAATCGGACAGAGGCCGGTGCAGCAGTCGTCGCACAAGTCACGGAATGTGGAGCCAACCCAGAAGGAGCCACTGCGGAGCCACGCCGAGATGGAACCCACCACGAAGCCACAGAAAGAAGAAGAACAAGCCGGCCGGGTGCCTGGTAGGCACTCACCTCCCCCATATATACATTGTGGCCCTAGCTAGGAAGTATAATATGCTATGTAAACCGCTCAGAGCTTCACCTCCCCTATATACATTGTGGCCCTAGATAGGAAGTATAATATGCCTATGTAAACCGCTCAGAGCCTCCGGGATTGAGTGGTATAGAAATTGAATGAATAAATAAATAAATATAAATAAATATAATGCATCTGATTAAATAAGATCTAGCCCACAAATGAAATCTAGTCCAAGGAAGTCTGGGGTCACTATGCAGAAGCGGGAAACATCAAAACACCTCTAAAAGTCTGCCTTGAAAACCCCACGGGATCACCATAAGTCGGCTGTGACTTCCACCATCACCACCAGTCCACAAATGCTTAGGCCACAATAACACTGTTGGTCTTTAAGGTGTCACGAAACTCCTGCCTGATTCTGCTACAACAGTCTGTATCAGTACTCCCAGCGGGACAAACAGCGGCTCCCTGGGGTTGATTCAGATGGTCGGAAAGATGGGATACAGAAATGGTATATATTAAAAGCAGAGCTAGATGACTTCGGATGCTAAAAAAAACCCAGAAACGTCCTTTGCAGATCAAACTGAGATGTGAACTGCAGCACCCAAGCACTGTTTGGCCCTTGATATCCAACTCGCAATCTGCTGCTGAACAGGTGGAACGGATCCATCTGCTAAACCCATGAATCTCCTTTACGCTGAGTCGGACCCTTGGTCCATCAAGGTCAGTATTGTCTACTCAGACTAGCAGCGGCTCTCTGGGGTCTCAGGGTTTCACAGGACTTCCTACCTGATCCTTTTTAACTGGAGATGCTGAGGACTGAAAACGGAACCTCCTGCATGCAGAGCAGATGCTCCACCAATGAACCACAGCCCCTCCCAGCGACCCTGTCTCCAGCAGACAGGCAAACAGTTTAAAAGCACATAAGCATCCTCATTTCCTTGGCCGTTGCCTCATACTTATCATCAGGGCTAATTTTGGGCAGGAACGCGCAAGAATGGAGTTCCGGCTGGCTCCCGAGTTGGCCACGCCCAGCAGGAACTCATTAGCATAACAGGCCACACCCAACAGCAGGAACTCATTAGGATTGGCTACATTAGGGGTGTGTGGCCTAACATGCAAAGGAGTTCCTGCTACAAAAAAACCCCTGGGTTTTGACAACAAACAAGGTAAACAGAATAAGAAGCAAAAGGTGGGTGTGGCCAGATGACCACACTTCTGGTAACATGGGGGTGCGGCCTAATGTGCTAATGAGCTGTGCTGTCAGGGCTGTGGCCTAATATGCTAATGCGTTTCTGCTGTTGGGTGTGGCCTATTATGCTAATGAGTTCCTGCTGGGCTTTTTCTACAAA